ATACATAAAAATAACCGCGAACGCAGTTATATAATTTATAAAAAAAAAAAGTTATTTAATTTAACAAAATACAGAACACATCAAAGAAAATGTCAGCCGCTACAGAACAAAATAATGGTGATGTCGCCGTTGAGAAAGTTGCCGCCGATGCCGTGGATGCGGCAGCAGCCGTGAAGGAAGATCTCAAAAAGCCTGCCGTCGACGAAAAAGTAGTGGCCGCCGACAATGGTACAGCGTCCAAGGAAGATGCCGATGAGGAGGATGCACCCGATTCCGTCAAAGTAGCCGTCGCCCCCGTCAAGGAACAAGTGAAAGGAACAAAACGGCCTGCTGAAGTAAGTACAATACATATTAAAAAAAAAAAAAATACACATAGAGAGATAAATTAATAGTTCACTGTCAGGTCGCAAAAGGATGAAATTTCTAGGCGTAACGCCAAAAAAGTGCCCACTAAATTATAATTCTCTGGTAGCAGTACAGATTTTCTAAAAAATGTGCTTTTCCAAAAATTAATTAACGCTGGTGGAGGCTGCGTTTGTTTGCATCGTGAACTAGGCAACTTTTGCATGTTTGTGCGTCAAGTGCCGACACACACACACACACACACTCACATATCTGAGCGATGTCAAAATGTTTAACAGATAACGCAAAGAGGGGCCGAGAACGAGAGCGCGCAAATTGCTAACTTTGACAAGACTTTGACAGTCGCACCACAAAAATGTTTCGCGCCTGATTAATTTTTCGTTCTTCTGTTTGGAAGCAATCGCTACATAAACAAAACTTTATCGTGACACGAAAAAAAAACTATTTTGCTTCCATAGGTGATTGACACAAGCATAATACGCTCTAGAGTACAGTCAGTGCGCTAATAATGTCACAGCCATCTATGTATGAATGTGATTTTGTCATACGGCGCCAGAAACTCTTCAAAGATCGCCAGTGATCTTTATAAAGTTGTAGTATATTGGGTGAAATATATAATTTATACAAGTCGTAATCTTTACGCATACATTTACCAAAAGTTTGTTTGTGTATTGGTGTCAAATGTGTCTCCTGGCTGATTCATTTAATATGCGTTTTTATACGTATTTTTCGTAGCTACCTTTATGGCGAACAATCGTACACAAACAATGGTATATATTACAACAGCACCCATAAATTTTAACATAGCTCAATAAAACGCAGACATTTCAGTATTCGTTTGGCTTATATATGTACATACATAATATCTCGATAAAGCGATTCGAAAGTCTTCTAGAAATAAAAGTAAATTGTGTTCAAGCAACAGGCAATCGAACAGCCAGGAGATGGTTATGCATATACATATGGATTTGCGGCGTTTGAAAGTAAGAGGAAGCAAAATTCGTGTAATCCTGGATATAATGTACTCGTCTCCACATCTAGGCGCGCGCATTTTGGTATCTCTATCATTCTCGAACGCGTGTTTTGCGCGCTCTCACTCAATCCTGCTCATTCTTTTCTACTCCCACTTACTATTTCGATGAGATGAAACTCTCATTTCCTGTCTATAGCACGTTCTGTATATTTCCTGCAACTACAATTTACACCCCCTGAGTAGTCAGCGCCTAAATACTTCCGCNTTTTTTTTTTTTTTTTGTTGGTCACACATGTCTTGTATCTTTTAGTTTTAGCGGTCGAATGATGGTCGTATGAGATTTTCTGATTTGCGCAATATGGACGCAACTGCAAGCCTAGACAATGGGGAGTACACAGATCACACACTGGAGATTGCTGTCCCATTGTTAGAGTCGCCTGAATTATTTATTACTGCTTACGTATTAAGTACTAAATATAATAGCAC